AACGGATAAATCGATTGGATCAGGGCCTTACCTAAAGCTTCCGAGGTCATTTCCAGTCAGATATCTCTACAGCTAAATGAGATACACTGTTGCAGTACTTGTACCGCGCTGTATCTACAGTTATATCTGGTTATTATTATCTTGTCTGTTTGTGTGTATTAATGCTGGCTCTCCTATGTAGTAGAATCTGTTTATTTAAGTTTTTATTATATAAGTAGAGATAATAAGCATGCCAATATCTTAGCCAAGTCATAGAATGGTGCGCAATGCTTACCCGGTTCGGTTCGTCCGTGTTCCGTCCGAATCGGACATGCTCTATCATTCGCTTCTCGGACAGGCTAGCTTTGCGCGATGATGAGGTCAATTCCAAAGGCTCGATATGTATTTGTAAGATAAGTAATTGTCACAGTGGAAGGCACCGAGACGTTAACAGAAAGCAATAGTAGGCCAAAATCTGGTTTATAATCGACAGATACCTCAAAAGTAAGTTGGCGATTGATCACCAGTCATTAAAACACAATGAAGAGTCGAACCCACGAGATAACCATTTTGGGCGCTACAGGGTGGACCGCCACAATCTGTGTAGAGCATATTGCCAAGACCTTCCCAACAAATACGAGGTGGTGCATTGCAGGTCGTTCAGCCTCAAAGCTCGAAGCTCTGCGCCAAGACCTACAAGCCATCAATCACGATCGATTGGAGCCGGCGATTTACATCAACCCTCAACTCAACGCCGAAGGCCTCGATCCAATTGTAAGAGAAACAAAGGTTTTGATCAACGGCATCGGCCCATATCACCGCTATGGAACTCCAGTTGTCGACGCATGTGCTTGTAACGGTACCCATTACGTCGACTTTAGTACCGAGACTGCATGGATCGCCGAAATGATACGGAATTTTCAAGAGACAGCCAAGGGTTCGGGCGCTGTCATTATCCCGGCTATCTCGGGATCGAGTGCTCCATCTGATCTCGTGGCGTGGTTGATTGCTAGACATCTACGAGAGCAAGACCTACCAGCAGCATCTGAAATCGTATGCTCCGGAAAGCTCAGCATGCTTGGGATGCAAGGTGGTTCCCTACATACTGTTCTTGACGTGGCCGAGACCCATGGGATCAGTGGTTGGTTGACTTCTGACACCTCGGTCTTGCTGCCAAACCCCAAGCATGTGGTCAAGAAGAACAAGAAACTGATGGGCCATTGTTACGACCGACATCTTGGGCATCTGGCAACATCCTTCGTTGCGTGGGGTAATGAGTCGGTCGTCCAACGATCAGCAGCCTTAAATCCGAAGATCTACGGACAAGATTTCGTTTACAAAGAATACAGCCCAGCCACTGGCCTCATATCTGCACTACTCATGCACATGATCACAAAACTGGGCACTTTCTTGCTTGCAGTGCCTTGGTTCAGGTCCTTCATCCGTGGCAAGTCCTTCGATCGAGGATCTGGGCCCGACAGAGACCAAAGTCGCAAGATGGAGAGTGCGGAATGGAAAGCAGTTGGGTATGTGACTGGTAGGAAAGAACCAGTGGCGTTGGCAGAGTTCAGCTACAAGGGAGCGTTGGTTGACATGGCGGCAATTTTAGCCGTAGAAGCTGCAGCGACAATCAACCAGTTGAACAAGACTGAGGCTACTGGTGCTGGACTATTGACGCCATCAACATTGGGTATCACATTTGTGGACCGACTTCGGGCAGCAGGTTTTGATCTCACGGTTGAGGGATCCGAAAGCCATTGATTTCGTTTTATTCCTGGGTCATATTTATTATCAATTGTTACCATCTCACGCAGCTCTAGGGTACCGGATTGGGCGGAGAAAATCGGCTGTTGGTTGCCAAGTCCCGGATCATGGGTTGCTACGGAAGTGGAGAGTTACCAAGGTGGCCGATACCGCTTGGGAGCGATTCTAGCGGGAGAAATAAATGATCTCCAACCTCTCATATTCGGCAGCGCCATCTAAACTACGTGAGCTACAAGCACGGCATCCAGTAAACATCCCGAGGGTCCGGCTGATCAACGCCGAAACTGTCATCGGTTGGGCATCGTTTGTCAAGTAAGGCGTAAATGATCTGATAACCTTATTCATTATCTCGGAACTCGGCACATAGATCAATGGTCTGCAGCAGCCTCTGGCGTGACAAAAGGCTACTAAACATAAACTTGACGATATGCAGTTAGGTTCACGAGACCTGACAGGGTGATTAAGAGTTATGCATACTACGAGAGTTATTATTTTACCTTATCTATGATGGTCCAGAATGTTCCCCCACGTCAAATGAAACGGCTATGCGAACCGAAATGGTAGGGGTCTGGAACAGACGAGGAACTTAGTCACGAAAATGCTGATGAAAATTTCGAACGGGGGTCGAGAAGTCCCGATGCAAGCCTAATTGAGCTAGCTGTGTTTTGTCGTGGAGAGCTATCAGGTGCTATTAACCGAGGCGTTTGAGCTGTTCCAGCAGTATTGCCTCATCACAACTCTGGACGTGATTTGAAGTCAGAGAATATAACGAAGGATAGGCTAAATCTCATGTCTGAGATGATCTGCAATTGCCGTCAGGACAAGAATCAAAAAAGAACCAGAAACTGTGGCTGGTGATCACACAGACTATTACCTAAAATTAGGGTAAAAGGCTCTCGTTACACTCGTCAACGGGGATCTCCGCCAAGCCCTCGTTCCACAGTCTATTCACATGCTAGTCCTACCCTAGCTCCCTTTATCAATCAGATCCATCTTATCAATCAGCCAGGACCCCGCGCCATCCGTTCAAATTCCCATTTCGGGTCTAGAACACGTGGGATAGCTCTCTTTATCTGATCAGTGGCAGCGGCAGTTCGGCACATCTAAACGAAAAATTTGTCTGACTGCATGCAGAATTCCGCGGAGTCACCATGTCACTCTCAATGGGCGGAATCAATGGTTCTGGAACGCCATGTCTCACCGTGACCAATGGTGGCATGGGTCAAATTCCTTGGAGGGCTGATGGTTCCTTGCACTTGGGTGCCAAGAAGTGATATCGCCAAGAGGTCAGATATCTTGCACGTTGCCAAGACGGGCACTTGTTGTTACAAGATCCAACATGGCACTGAAAGAGACCAAATAGTAGTATTGTCAGTAGCCATTAATTGACGATATCGACTTGACGTTGTAAAGACAGGCGATTGACTGGAGGGAGCCATGCCCACAAACACGAGACCGCACTAACCAAGCGCAAACTCTCGGCCTCCCTCCGACCCTGGGAAAGTCTGCATCCAACAAAACGGGTCTTAAGCATCTCCTCAACATGGCCCATCCCTTCCAGTCCCGAAAATCTGATGCTAATCAACAAGCCACAAAACCCATGACCCAGGTTTCTCTCTCCTAACACTAACCCAATAGCCGTTGTCCGAAACGAACGATATCCGGCGATCACGGATCTAGAATGCAGCCATGACTTTTTTCGAGGGATCTTTTGCTCAGGATTGCCGTTTCTGGAACAAGAGGCATTTTATCCATCTTGGGTCGCGATGCTACTTAAGAATGAGCTATCTAGCACTCCTATTTCTTGGGCTCGTTCAGATCTTCATCATTTAATTGTTCCATCTATTAGCCTTGGGCACCAGCCAATATGTGGTCTTCCACTCCAATGCCGGCATTAGCAATCGTGCTGTCAGCACTTTCTTTCATCCCTAGCGCATCAGCCACAGTCCCTCTTCAAGGCTATGGGAGGGACGATTACCCGGTGTCATGCGCCCAGGCATGTTCATACGCAATGCCCTACAATCTCGACTGTCCTGAGTACGCAGGCATGACAGCAGAGGAGAAAGCAGCAGCCTATCCATCAGCAGCATGCTTCGCCAACGACACCTCCTACCTGACCTCCATGGCCTACTGTATCCACACCTATTGTCCCAAGGACGTCAAGACCTACGAGATTGAGTACTTCTGGGAGGTAAAGATGATTTATGACTCTGAAGCCCTGACGATTCGATGGCCTTATCCCGAGGCCTTGGCTCAGGTAAACACTACGACTGCGCCAAAGCCATTGTCACCAGAAGAAGCCGTCTTTAACCGTACCATCTCTATCGATTCCACCACCTATCAGAGCTATAGGAACGGTGTGAAAGGATACAAGGCAGTCGCCAAGAATGAGTCCATGTACTCGTAAGTGACCCGTTCTTGAGATCTCAACAAAACTAATCATTCGTAGCATCCTGGCCTTCATGACTTGTGTCATGGTCCCCATCGGCTTCTCCCTCCTTCGTTTCCTCCCCCTCCCAACATCCTTTAAAAGCAAGTTGTATGGCTATCTTATCGACCCTCCAGCTTGGGGCAGGCAGCACAGCGTGGCTACACTTGGCATCGGTATGGTGCCTACCCGAGGCCAAGCTCTCTTCATCCTCTACCTCATCGGCATCAATTGCCTGGCCACGTTTGCGGGATACCCCAACTACACTCCAAACGGCATCTTTCCAGACCGTCACTACGAGCTGATGCGTCAAATCGGGAATCGCGCTGGTTCTGTTGCATTCGCCAATATCCCTGTTGTTATCCTATATGCTGGCCGTAGCAGTGTGCTACTTCGGCTAACCAACTGGTCTTACTCGACCTTCCTTCTCCTTCACAGATGGACCGCCACCATCTGCGTCGTCCAAGTTGCCCTCCATTCGCTCCTTTGGCTTCGAATTATGATCGAGGGAGACTCTTATCCTCTCGTTCTGACATACCCCTACTGGTATGTCGGTATTGTTGGAACTGTTGCCTTCTCCGCCTTGATTCCATTCTCGATGCTCCCAATCCGAAAGATCATGTATGAAGTCTTCCTCATTACGCACATAATCTTAACAATCGGCGCTTTGGTCGGTTCTTGGTATCACATTGTTTTCTTGTACGAAGACAAAGGTGGCTTCGAGATCTGGCTCATAATCGCCTTTTGCTTCTGGGGCCTTGAGAGACTGCTTCGCATTCTACGCATCTCTAGATATGGCATCAAGAAAGCATACGTCACTCGCATCGATGATAAGTATCTGCGCGTTGACATCCCCGATGTCGATGCTCAGGGCCATTGCTTCGCTTACTTCCCCACGCTCTCTTGGCGAGTATGGGAGAATCATCCTTTCTCAATCGTCAATTTCAGCAAAGGTCAGCTTGATGGAGAGTCCGTTATCCCAAGCTCAGCTTCGCACACGCAGTCTGAGAATGAGGGTGCAGTCTCACCTACTGAAGCATCGGCTTCTAAAGAGATGGGAGGCGCCATGTCCAACATCCGCCAACTCAGAGTTCACAGTAACACTACCAAGCCTGGTATCACGCTGTTTGTCCAGAACCTTCGTGGCATGACCGCCAAGCTTGCAAAGAAAGCCGACACTGGCATCGCAATCCCCGTCCTCATCGAGTCTTCTTATGGCCACGAAGACACCACTCGATTTGAGCCCAGCATCGAATATCCGAATACCCTTGTTATCTCTGGCGGTGTCGGCATTGCTGGTGTCCTGTCATCTCTCCAAGCTTCCCTGTCAATGTACGCCAAGCCCCTGGGCACCACTAAGCTCTACTGGGGAATCAAAAGTAAGGGCCTTGTCGATGTTGTCAAGAGTATGATTGTAGGTGGAGATGCCGGTGAAGAAAAAGAAGGTGGTGAATCCTCCAACTGGGGCCATATCGAGACCCATGTCTCGGTTGGTGAGCGCATGGACATAAAGAGAGTTTTGACGACGGAATTAAGGAACGCTATTGGTGGAACTACTGTGGTCGTCTGTGGTCCACATGCAATGTGTGATGAAGCTCGGTATGTCTGCGCTGCAATGGCAAGACATGGCGTTGTTGTTCGTTATGTGGAAGAGTCCTTCACTTGGTAGAGGCATCACGAATTCGGGGGAGGGGAGAAAATCTTTAGAAGAATTGGTACATTTTTTATGATAGACTTTTGGTCCTATGCACTCATTTGAATCAAGGTTGTATTCGGCAGTGCCGATCAAGAGACCGACTCCGTACACAAATCGGAATTAGCTAGGATCGGGATTACACTCACAGTATATGACTCGGCTGCCGATGGCTAAATTATTCGGTCCTATAAATCCTTCAAAAGCATGGGAACATGGCAGCGCTGAAACCCAATGCACCTTATCATTGGCAATTTGACTGGCCAAAGGCTGCTATTGGCAAACAAAGTTCTGGCACGGCTCAATCATGACCGTTGCGGGCGCCAGCATGCGAGAGTAATGGCACTTGGTGCATCAGATTGAGCCTCATCTTCACTTTAGAGTACTGTGCTTCCTCTGAAGGATTCGACTAAAATCCTAAGTGGTTTTGAGTGTGACGTTGCGACGGGCTGATGTAAACGCCATGTGCATGTGGAGATAATCATTTAGAACCCCAAGATGACAGCGGGGATGGCGTAGAGTATTCAAGTGGTAAACTGTGTAAATATAAAAAGGGACAAGCAGCTCGATGGCTCAGAGGTTTCTGGAGTTGCTCTAACACAGAAGTTCTCAGTTTCCAATGCGTTTATCTATTCTTTTTACCGGCTTCATCGCGGGCCTCACGGCAGCTCGTAGTATGCATGAGCGGGCTGCATCGAGGCTTGTGTTGTCTCATTACATGGTAGGAATACGTCAACTCGACTTAGATCAATTTGCTCATCTCCTTGGTAGCTTGGCGATATTACTGAGGAACATGCTCACAAAGATATTGACGATGCTATTGCCATGGGGTATGTACACTGATACTACCTTGACCCGACTGACCATTTTCACCAG